CAAAAACCATCAAGCGCTATGATGACCCAGAGATAACTCTGCTGCAGAGGGTAAGTTAGAGTTACCAGCCTCGGAAATTGCAGCCCAAATAAATGCTTCACATAGTTCAAGTAACCAACACATCTCAACATCAACTGTTCAGAGGAGACTGCGTGAATCAGGCCTTCATGGTCGAATTGCTGCAAAGAAACCACTACTAAAGGACACTAATAATAAGAAGAGACTTACTTGGGCCAAGAAACATGAGCAATGGACATTAGACCATTGCTCATGGTCTGGAGTCCAAATGGGAGATTTTTGTTGACGTTGAGGGAGCAGTTATTTTCCTGCTACCACTCTGCCAGGGCTCTCACCTCCTCCCTGTAGGCTGTCTCATCATTGTTGGTAATCACTGTTGTCGTCAACACACACAACACTACACAAAGGTCTCTTCAGATACCATAACATTCACAGAACTTTAAGTTAAAATGACTACTGATTCAACTTCTCTCTTCTGAAAGTATTTACTATTTTTTAAAGAAATGTAGACACTCAAGTTGGCTGCTTTCAATGGATTTGGGAGATTGATCATACAAGCAGCTGTTTAATTTTCCTATGTTGAACATTTGAGTGAGATAAATATCCATTACCAGTATTTTCACTCACAATGCAGCATAGTGTAATGTCTGATTATGGACTTAACTGCAATGTATATTTCATACAGTACAATGTGTTGCTTAGTCTACAGGGATCTTGTATTAAATTATGACCCACCTCATTCACAAGTGAAACTAGAGTCAGATGAGATTAATTACTTATAACTGGTTGATATGCATATAAAGTGTGACAATGTTTTTTCAAACCTAAATTAAACTGAAGCCTCAAAATAGGTTTGGTCTTCAGACCCATTCTCATTGGCTCCGAGAGATGGACTCATATGACGTAAAGTTTCCGGGTTGTCTCCTCTGCGTTGGAGGTTACTGTCGGTCATTCATCCTGGCGAGGTCTCGGTTTCCTGAGGTAAGTATATTAGCTAGGGAAATGGCTAAGTAAACTCCCAGATAATGTGTTATCATCATCATCTTATTTACATAAATGTGGCAACATTTAATATTCTTAATATCCAGTGTATTGACGTAAGAAAGAGCTGTCTATGACAACTTCATTCATATCTTTATTTATGACGCTCGCGCCAACGGTATCTCGCCAGCGCATGCTAGGCAGTGCATTGTGGAGGAGCGCGCGCTGCCTCGCTAGATAAAGATATGGCTTCACTCACTGGACCTTTAGAAAAAAAAATTTATTTTATTTTATAGATGTCCATCTAAAAGGCATGTAACATTTCCAAATAGTATAAAACTAATGAATGTTTGAGCAAACGATTTGATAGCTATGTGGGTTATATACAGGTTTATATATGGGTTAAATATACCCCACAAGTGATGGTGATATGATGATATGGTTTATCTACCAAGAACAAAATGTCTTATCAATAAATGAATGTGCAGTACCAGTCCTAATAACAGGAGAGAAAATGAATGCCAAGGTCTGCTGGACAAATCAGGTCATCACCCTATTTTGTTATGATAGGGTGTTTGTGTTACAATTTGTACTGATGTTTGATGTAAACTTGTGTTTCAAGGCTTGAGCTACAGTACAAGGCTTGTATTGCTGGTTTGTGTAGTTCTTTTTCTGTCATCTGTTTTATAGACACAGCAGTAGCATTGATTATCCTATCTTACAACACAGCCTTGCCATGAGTCTTGGTCACACTTTAATGCATCACACAGTATTCTTCAGTGTGTGAAAAGGTCATTGACATCACCTCAAGGCGAATATATTTACCTATGACATGCTTTTACGCAGTGGTGTAAAGTACTTAAGTAAGTCTTGTCCTACTTAAGTAGTTTTTTTTTAGGTATCTGTACTTTACTATTTATATTTGACTACCTTTACTTTTACTTCACTACATTCCTAAATAAATAATGTACTTTTTACTCCATACATTTTCCCTGACACCCAAAAGTACTTGATACATTTTCAATGCTTAGCAGGACAGGAAAATGGTCCAATTCACTCACTTATCAAGAGAACATCTCTGGTCATCCCTACTGCCTCTGATCTGGCGGACTCACTAAACACAAATGCTTCGTTTGTAAATGATGTCTACGTGTTGTAGTGTGCCCCTGGCTATCTGTACATTTTAAAAAATATATAAAAAATTGTGCCTTCTGATTAGCTTATTATAAGCAATTTGAAATTCTATACTTTTACTTTTGATACTTAAGTATATTTTTGCAATTACATTTACTTTTGATACTTAAGTATATTTAAAACCAAATGCTTTTAGACTTTTACTCAAGTAGTATTTTTCTGGGTGACTTTCACTTTTACTATTATGGTATCTTATGACAATTGGGTACTTTTTTGGGGGAAATGTTTCACCTAAAACAGCTGAAAATAATTCACTATTACTGATCTGAAAGCCAGAGAGCACATCATGAAAAATAATCATGTGGCTTCGATAAAAATGGCTTTGTCTCTCCTTATTTCTTGGAATACATTAAACTAAATCTGTCACATTTTCCTCTTGTCAGTCTGTGTAATTTGTATCACAATGAGCAACCAGCTGTGTTTGTGTGACGGAGTTGTAATAGATGTGGGCTCTGGAAACATGACGCAAAAGAGTTAGTCAGTCAGCCTCTGATTGGACTGGCAGGGATAGGGCTCTGAGTACGTTGGGATGACGACTGTAGAGAGGAACCTCATCATTTCCTGTCCAATACACTCTCCTATTGGATTAGAGCAGTTGTGGGTGGTAGCAGGAGAATGTATGTTAGCTCTCGGTGAGTGCAGCTGAGTTAACCAAAGAGCTGAGACTGGGGGTGAAGAATAAACATATTGTGTACAATAAACATAATCTGGACTAGGCTCAGGGAAAGAGGAAGAAGTGTGTTTCGTTAGCGTGCCTTAGAACAGTAGGTAAGGTAACCAATTTCTTCTCTTGTTCATTCTCCAGAAAGGTTTGCACTGTTTTGTTCTGCTCTTCACGGGTGTGTTTTTCAGAAGTGTGTGCATGTGGTCTTTCCTCTGCCAAATGCTTGATGCTCTCCCACAATTCTGATTCTGTTTCATGGGCTGATATACCTGATACCTGCCTGATAACTAATATTTGAAAGTGGTAGGAAGATTTTTTTCAGGAATCATATAAAATGTAGAAATATAATATATTTAGAATGTCGTTTAAAAAAAAATATTGATTGAAGGAGGAATTTCTCCTGGCTGATTCCTTTTGGGGTTGTGATGCCTGGGCTTTGTTGTGCCTATGTAGTAAATGGAATTAGGAAGATCAGTGGCACATGAGCACTATAAGCCACTCACAGGCAGCATCCTGTGTACTAAAGCACTTGAGCCTTCATTAGTACATCAACAGGGACTGTCTGGAGGGATGTCAAGTGACACAAGCATTTCATCATCAGGGCAACATAGTAGATCATGATGCAAGCATTACAACGTGTATAATTTTACGTTTTGATCCTGTCGAGCCATGCTCAGCTGCTAGTTACAGTAGCAGCAGTAAGATCAATTCGATAACCTTTTCAATGGAATGTAGGTCTGATGGCGCTGTGTTCCCCTTACCTCTGATGTCAAGTTGCCCTCCATTAGGCTACATTGTGGCTCTCATTGTATTATACGTGGTTTGATATGGTTTGGTCGACATTTTTTACTGAATAGTGGATATAAAGAAAGAAGATGGACTTGAGGATAGGGCTCAACTCTTAAAATTGTTGTTTAGGCTTGGATAAAGTCCAGAATAACTTTCTGTGCCCCTTTTACACTTTCTAGTGTGCTGGTATTGCTCTTGCCAGTTGCCATCTTAGAATCTTATGCAGTGAAATAATGTGTTCTTTGGCTTACATGGAACTTGCTTTCAATATACTTGTATTTCCTTTATTTTGGCAGTTACCATTATGTCCAAAGGGTTGCCAAGTGGCACCAGAAATTCGGCAAAAGTAAGAAAGTAAAAGCCAAGTAAGAAAGTAAATGAATGTGTTACTGATACTACTTAAATGTTTAAAATATTTTACTAGTAAAAGGTTAAGTAAGGTTTCATGTAGGCTATGCGGTCTCTGCCATTTAACCTAGCCTAACCTCTTTGGCTTCATAACCACTCTGCTGAGCTCTGTTGTCTTTGTATTTCAGTCTCTTCATTTAGGACTATATCATTCTCAAGGGGTATTTTCCTAAGGTAGGCCTAGCGGTAACCTAGCAGTTAGAGCGTTGTGCCAGTAACCGAATGGTTGCTAGTTCAAATCCCTGGGCCGACAAGGTGAACAAATCTGTCTGTGCCCTTGAGCAAGGCACTTATACCTAATTGCTCCAGGGTCGCCGTTGATAATGGCATACCCTGGCAGTGACCCCAATCTCTCAGGGAGAGTTGGGATATGCAAAAACACATTTCCAATTCACACATGCGTATAATACACATTTTTAGGTGTGAAATAGGACAAATATAAGCACCTTCCAAATTGTTATTAATATTATTATTTATTTATTATCAACTAGTGTTGCTCATTCTGATAATTCTACCTTATAATTGTTTCTCCGTCTTAACAAAGGCACCATCAATTGGCATGAATAAATACAGGTGCGCTTTCAGCTTTTTAAAACACTGACCTAACATTCTTCCAGTGCTGGGAAATGATTGTACACTGCAAGCATCAATTATAGATAAGATAAAAGATTGTCAAATCTGAAGTGACATTGACCAGACATGGGCCTAGATGTTTGTGTACAGCTACATCAGCTAGTGCAGTGCTCCAGTGAAACTCAGCTATTATGTCCAGCAATATAAAAAAATATAATTATATATAAACGCACCTAGGTTTGGTGCATTGGAATGTATGCTTTGACATGAAACGCATTCAAAAAGCCTCTTTGAAAACAAATAAAGTCATTCAATGTGGCTAGTCTATAAATTAGATTTTGCATTATGCACAGTGCATACTTGTGGCTACTGGCTAGCTCCTAGCTATAGTTCTTCAGTATTACTAACATGCTTATCTCTCTCTCTCTCTCTCTGTCTGTCTGTCTTTTATCAATTTATTTTCTTCTTCCCCATATGCTGAACAATTCTCAACCAATCACCCTGCTGTCTATAGAGCTAGCATCACAGATCTCTTGTGTCAAGCCTTTCCATTGAATTGTCTTGGTGCATGTGCTGCTACCTGTCCAATCTGTAATTACCGCCACCTGCCTTGGCAATCTTTCCACAACTGAGAGCTGAACTGTCTGAACTCTCCCTGAAACAGACGCTTCTCCCTCAAGTCTCTCTTTCTCTCCACCTCTGCCTCATCTTCAACCATGACGTTCAAAGTAGACATGCATTACGTAGTCTTCTTGCCTGTGTACCTATTGATGTGGCTGTACACGCTCATCACATTTATCCCATGGTATTTCCTCACTGATGCTGGGAAGAAGAAAACCATGGCCAAGAGAGAGAAAGCCAAGTCCACCACAGGCAAAGCTGAGGGCCCCTATCGTTGTGTGGAGAACTTTGACAACCTGGCACGGGAGGACTTTGAGGGAAAGGACACTCTAGACAAGCTGTTTGAGCATGCAGTGCAGCACTTCGGCAACGCAGACTGCCTGGGCACCAGGGAGGTCCTAAATGAGGAGAACGAGATGCAACCCAGCGGCAAGATCTTTAAGAAGGTAGAGTGATCACACACACTCCATCTCACCAGGAACTATTAGAGTGCAGTCAAGTTTCTGTCAAATAAGTTACATAAATTGTGCAACCTGAAGCAGGTTCGTATAACTTCATATAACATCTAACTGTCCTAGATGAAATCCCCTCTTGTAGAGTAATTGAATCAAATGTCAAATGTTTGCACTGGAAATAACTTGAATTGACTCCAGTGGGATATTTTCCTGTGTGAACTGAAGGCCCTTAGTAGAACCAACTCTAATAGCCTGTTCCTGTGCTCGCTCCTCTGCTGAAGCTGATCCTGGGGGAGTACAGGTGGCTGTCCTATGACGAGGTGGACCAGATCATCAGCCATCTCGGTAGTGGACTGGCAGCACTGGGCCAGCAGCCCAAGAGTACCATTGCCATCTTCTGTGAGACACGGGCAGAGTGGATGATCACTGCACAGGCCTGCTTCAGACGCAACTTTCCATGTAGGCATTGACCGCAAAACACCTCCCTGTTTGAGAATCTAACACTAGCATATAAAGTGCCACTACATTGCATTATAAAGCTATTTCCTGTAAGAACAGTAATATTTGTGATAACATTGTGCTGTGTGTTTGCATTTAAACAACATGTTTGGTTGTGTTGCAGTGGTCACTCTGTATGCCACCCTGGGGGAGGAGGCAGTGGCCTATGGGCTGAATGAGTGTGGGGCCACTCACCTGATCACCAGCGCAGAGCTACTGGAGACTAAACTCAAGGTAGGAGTCATTAGGGGAAACACATGGTTCACATTCCAGCCTAACTACACACTGCTGTTCTCAGCTCCTCTCTCAGTGGGAAAGAGAGCTGGGTCGTTTCACGAAAGGGTGCCTTTTGCGTCCCTTTGATATTTTAAGTAGAAATTGTGCACCAATATTACATTTTAAAAGCCTGTTATATTAAATGAATTGCCCTTTAATATAGACAACATGGAGAATTCAATAAATCTGAATAAAGCCTTGCTAAAGTGCCTTGCTAAAATTCTACATTTTGACACGTCCCTCTGTCCACCCTGTGCCACTTCTAGGAAGATTTCAACCCACTTAATCCAAACATTTCAACAAGTTTCCCCATCATTATAAAGCCCTAGTTATTTTTGTTGCTTTGTCAAAGTCATAGTGATTAATTTATGTGTTTCCCTCATTTTAAGGTGAACCCTGTTACATGAACTGAACTCTTGTTTTAATATGGTGAAACTATTCCTTTTAAAATATTTTTTCCAAAAGAAACATTGAACATATAATATTCAAATCATAGTGTAAAAGCAGGTGAGCTGGTTCTACTATTATTGGCAATTTTCTGATGTTTTGTTTGTGGTGGAAAACTGAGCGGGTCGTGCACACCACATCCACCCTGTTAACATTAGATAAGACTAGAGATGTTTTAGCAATATTTTTTGGGGGGTGAAGCTTGCATTCAATTGCCACTCTCTGTTGCACACAACAAGCGTCCCCCTGTCACGAGGGTATTTATGGCTGATTTAAGATGAAATGGTCAAACCTGTTACTTTATTTGGCACTTAATAGGCACTTACTATAGTACTTTTTATTTATTTATATATATACACATATACTGTACATACATATACAGTTGAAGTCGGAAGTTTACATACACCTTAGCCAAATACATTTAAACTCAGTTTTTCAAAATTCCTGACATTTAATCCTAGTATAAATTCCCTGTCTTAGGTCAGTTAGGATCACCACTTTATTTTAAGAATGTGAAATGTCAGAATAATAGTAGAGGGAATGATTTATTTAAGCTTTTATTTATTTCATCACACTCAATTAGTATTTGGTAGCATTGCCTTTAAATTGTTTAACTTGGGTCAAACGTTTCGGGTAGCCTTCCACAAGCGTCCCACAATAAGTTGTGTGAATTTTGGCCCATTCCTCCTGACAGAGCTGGTGTAACTGAGTCAGGTTTGTAGGCCTCCTTGCTCGCACACGCTTTTTCAGTTCTGCCCACACATTTTCTATAGGCTTGAGGTCAGGGCTTTGTGATGGCCACTCCAATACCTTGACTTTGTTGTCCTTAAACCATTTTGCCACAACTTTGGAAGTATGCTTGGGGTCATTGTCCATTTGGAAGACCCATTTGCGACCAAGCTTTAACTTCCTGACTGATGTCTTGAGATGTTGCTTCAATATATCCACATAATTTTCCTTCCTGATGCTGCCACCCCCGTGCTTCACGGTTGGGATGATGTTCTTCGGCTTGCCAACAACCCCCTTTTTCCTCCAAACATAACGATGGTCATTATGGCCAAACTAAGTTACACCAGCTCTGTCAGGAGGAATGGGCCAAAATTCACCCAACTTATTGTGGGAAGCTTGTGGAAAGCTACCCGAAACGTTTGACCCAAGTTAAACAATTTAAAGGCAATGCTACCAAATACTAATCGAGTGTATGTAAACTTCTGACCCACTGCGAATGTGATGAAATAAATAAAAGCTGAAATAAATCATTCTCTCTACTATTATTCAGACATTTCACATTCTTAAAATAAAGTGGTGATCCTAACTGACCTAAGACAGGGAATCTTTACTATTATTAAATGTCAGGAATTGTGAAAAACTGAGTTTAAATGTATTTGGCTAAGGTGTATGTACATTTCTAACTTGAACTATGTGTATATATATATGTATATATACATACATACACATACATACATACATACATACATACATACATACATACATACATACATACATACATACATACATACATACATACATACATACATACATATAAATACATATACATACACATATATACATATCCTTTAAAAAAATATATTTCCCTTTATTACTTTCCAACCCCACCACCCCTTCCCTAATTGGAGTAAACTAGTGAACGCTTAGGCCTCTACTTCCAGCTTAAACATACTATATACATTTTACATTTTATGTACACAGTCAATTTTACAATAATTATATTTTGTTTGTTTTTACTCCTGAACTTCCTCTACCCTCAACCTCTCCGATCATTTTCATGATGTCCATCCTAATTGGAGTAAACTAGTGAACGCTTAGGCCTCTACTTCCCGCTTAAACATACTATATACATTTTACATTTTATGTACACAGTCAATTTTACAATAATTATATTTTGTTTGTTTTTACTCCTGAACTTCCTCTACCCTCAACCTCTCCGATCATTTTCATGATGTCCATCCGGTTTGCTTCTATATGCCATATCTCTCCAACTGTGCTCCTTCACAAAAGCTCTCAACCTATAACCTATATACTTATTATGGACACAGCATGCCCTACATTAGTTATCTTGCTGTTATTAGTTGTTGTTAGTTGTTATTAGTCCCATCATTCAGCTCCATTCAACACCTCCCATCTGTTTCTTAACACCATCCATATTGGATTTCTATTTGCCATATAGTTTTCATTTTTATTAATTTGAACATGTGCTCTTTATTACAGAATGTTAAAATTAGGTGAAATCCAAAGTTTTTTTTGACCAAGTTACACTTCTCAAAAGGCACCGAATTGGTGGAACGACCAAGCTATCTTTTCAGAAAGGATGTGTGTAATCACCTCCGTAGGTCAAGGAGGAAGTTAAAAACACACGGGGTGTTTGTGTGTGAACTGAGATGTGTTGTTCACCTGAAAAACAAGCCCCTGATATCATCAAAACTTGAATGAACCCTATAGGCATTTAGGACACAGGGGCTGAGATTACATTCCAAATAATGATGTCTTCCTGTGTGTCTGATAGAATGTTTTGCCAGAAATGCGCAACCTGAAGCACGTTATATATGTGGACAACAAGAGCATCAGCAGGACGGGCTACCCTGAGGGCATTCAGATCTACAGCATGCAGGCAGTACAGGAGTTGGGAGCCAAACCTGACAACTGTACGTGAAAACACATCAACAGCACTTTTCATATACAAAACACACAGGTCACACTGTTGGGTCACTGTTTTAGGTCACTCTTGTATGTCAAACAGTGTTTGCACTGAAACTTGAGTTTACATATGGCCCAGATGTCATTGTAGAGATGGTAAAATGTATAAGCAGGTAAAAAATATAGTAAAGTATAATATGCACATATGCTGGAAGTTTAGTTTCCCACAGCGTAGTAAAGCATGTACTGGCTTGGACTTTACCATTTATTTTCTAAGCATTATTAAGTGACTTGTCCCCCTCTGCTCCTGGCAGTGAGTGTAGCGGTGCAGCGGCCCCAGCCCACAGACCTGGCCGTGGTCATGTACACCAGCGGCTCAACTGGACGACCCAAAGGAGTCATGATCATCCACAGCAACCTGATCGCTGGCATGACGGGCCAGTGTGAGAGGATCCCAGGACTGGGGTGAGAAGAGCACCACAGCGCCTCTATCTAGTATCTAACCACCATTTAACTAGGCTAGTCAGGTCTCTGCATCACATTCTCATGTCAGACGCAATGTTTTGAAACAGCAGACAGCAGTGTAATGTACTGATGATAATCTTGCCTAAACTTGATAATTAGATAGACAGTATTGTCGAAGTGCATAACCGCTGTGGTGCAGGGTTCCAGATATTGAAGATGTAAAGTGTTGCCTCATCTTCATATTGCTTACAGTAGTGTGTTGTTGTGTCCATGTGCAGGCCAAACGATACCTACATTGGCTACCTGCCTCTAGCTCATGTGCTGGAAATGACTGCTGAGATCTCATGTATGACGTATGGCTGCAGGATTGGCTACTCTTCCCCACAAACACTCTCTGACCAGGTAATAGACTCAGCAGTTTGATCTAAATCGATATAATTGATCTTGCATATTTTTTGTTTTTTGTTTTGGTTTGCAAAGTGGGCAACAATCTAATGTTATTTTGATATCTTCTCTATTGCAGTCAACAAAAATCAAGAAGGGCAGTAAAGGAGACTGCTCTGTGTTGAGGCCTACTCTGATGGCAGCTGTACCGGTAAGAACGAGCATCCTTCCTTACACTTTCTGCTTATCACTGATGTGTTAGTGTTCTATAAAAGGTTGGCTTCTTTAGAGATTTTTAGAGGTCAGCTTTAGAGGACATCTTCTAACAGGTTATTATGTTGGTTCTTTGAGGTTCGCTGATAACTATCCTGAAGCATTTACTTCCTCTGTAGACAGTGGAAGCAGAGATTTGACATATGGATTATAAAAAGAAAAACTGTCACAAACAGATGTTTATCTGTTATCTGTCAGGAAATAATGGACCGCATCTACAAGAATGTGATGAACAAGGTGCAGGAGATGAACTATGTGCAGAGGACACTCTTTAAACTGGGCTACAACTACAAATTGGAACAGATCAAATTGGGCTACGATGCCCCACTCTGCAACATGTGAGTACACCAGGACACACACACACATATACACACACACACACTGCAGCATGTTTCTATCTACCGTACACAATCCTGTTACTGTTACATGCACATAGCTATCTTTATAGGTCAGATCCCTGATACAAGATTAGTGCATAAATCAAATAACATTTTATTGGTCACATGCACCAAATACAACAGGTGTAGACTTTACAGGGAAATGCTTACTTACGAGCCCATTCCCAACAATGCAGAGTTTAAAAACTAAGACAAAAATTTGCTAAATAAAAAAGGAAATAGTAACACAATAAAAACAATAACGAGGCTATATACAAGGAGTACCAGTACCAAATCAATGTGCAGGTGTATGAGGTAGTTGAGGTAATACAGTATGTACATGGGTATGGGTAAAAATGACTAGACAGTCAGGATATATAATAAACAGAGTAGCAGCAGCTTATGTGAAAGTGTGTGTGTGTGTGTTTTGTGTGTGTGAGCATATGTAGTGTGTGTATGTGTCACGATCGTCTAGCAAAGATGAGGACCAAGGCGCAGCGTTGCAGGCAAACATACTCTTTAATTAGAGACACGATCAAAACAACAAACGATACGTGACAGTTCACGGTCTAACATAAACAGACTTGAAACAAGATCCCACAAACACAAATGGGAAACAGACAGTTTAAATATGGCTCCCAATCAGAGACAACCAACGACAGCTGACACTCGTTGCCTCTGATTGGGAGCCACTCAGGCCAACATAGAAATACCCATACTCGATAAACAAATGAAATGCACAACCTGGCTCAACATACAAGTGTCCCCAGAGCCAGGGCGTGACAGTACCCCCCCCTAAAGGCGCGGACTCCGACCGCGCCCACCAAACACCACAGGGGAGGGACCGGGTGGGCACTCCGCTTAGGCGGCGGATCCGGCTCCGGGCCTGATCCCCGCTCCCTCTCCAACCCCCCAAAGTACCCCTGGTCCGGTCTGGCCCCGCTGGCCGGAGCTGGACTGCACACTGGTGGAGCGGATTGCTCTAGCTCCGGCGTGAAGCATCTGACCGGTGCCGGACCAGCCCCCGGTGGAACAGGCACGGGCCGTGCCGGACTGACGACGCACACCACTGGCTTGGTGTGGGGAGCAGGAGCGGGCCGCGCCGGGCTGACGAAACGCACCACTGACTTGGTGCGGGGAGCAGGAGCGGGCCGGACCGGGCTGACGAAGCGCACCACTGACTTGGTGCGGGGAGCAGGAACGGGCCGTGCCGGGCTGACGAAGCGCACCACTGACTTGGTGCGGGGAGCAGGAACGGGCCGAGCTGGGCTGACGAAACGCACCACTGACTTGGTGCGGGGAGCAGGAATGGGCCGGACCGGGCTGACGACGCGCACCACTGACTTGGTGCGGGGAGCAGGAGCGGGCCGGACCGGGCTGACGAAGCGCACCACTGACTTGGTGCGGGGAGCAGGAACGGGCCGTGCCGGGCTGACGAAGCGCACCACTGACTTGGTGCGAGTGGCAGGAACAGGCCGGACCGTACTGGGAACACACACCACTGGCCCTACGTGGGGATCAGGAACAGGCCGGACCGGACTGGCCACACACGCCAGTACCTCTCGCCGTGCCTCTACATCCTCCCTCCCCCTGGTGACCAGTGACTCCCGTAACCTGGCGGCCTCCTGCTGCCCCGTCGTCCACGGCGTTAGCCCCCCCCCTAAAACATTTATGGGCTTGTCTCTCCCCCGTGCTCATGGCCTCCATCCCTCTTGCCAGACTCTCACTCATCTCCTCCCAGGTCCATCCTCTCTCCTCGTCACGCTGCTTGATCCAGTCGAGGTGGGATCTTCTGTCACGATCGTCTACCAAAGATGAGGACCAAGGCGCAGCGTTGCAGGCAAACATACTCTTTAATTAGAGACACGATCAAAACAACAAACGATACGTGACAGTTCACGGTCTAACATAAACAGACTTGAAACAAGATCCCACAAACACAAATGGGAAACAGACAGTTTAAATATGGCTCCCAATCAGAGACAACCAACGACAGCTGACACTCGTTGCCTCTGATTGGGAGCCACTCAGGCCAACATAGAAATACCCATACTCGATAAACAAATGAAATGCACACCCTGGCTCAACATACAAGTGTCCCCAGAGCCAGGGCGTGACAGTATGTTGGAGTGTCAGTGTAGTATGTGTGAGTGTGTGGGTAGAGTCTAGTGAGTGTGCATAGAGCCAGTGCAAGGGAGTCAATGCTAAAACAATTAAGATAAAGAAATCAATAATAAAGGGGGTCAATGTAAATTGTCCGGGTAGCCTTTTGATGAACTGTTTAGCAGTCGTGGCTTGGGGGTAGAAGCTGTTCAGGTGCCTACTGGTCCGTACGCACTACCCTCTGTAGTGTCTTGCGGTCGGATGCCGAGCAGTTGCCATACCAAGCGGTGATGCAGCCAGTCAAGATGCTCTCAGTGGTGCAGCTGTATAACTTTTTGAGGATCTGAGGGCCCATGCCACATTTATTCAGCTTCCTGAGGGAGAAGAGGCGTTGTCGTGCCCTCTTCACTACTGTGTTGGTGTGTTCAGACCATGATAGGTCCTTTAGTGATGTGGAACTGAGGAACTTGAAGCTCTCGACCCGCTCCACTACGGCCCTGTCTGTGAACGGGGGCGTGTTCAGCCCTCCATTTCCTGTAGTCCATGATAAGCTCCTTTGTCTTGCCCACATTGAGGGAGAGGTTGTTGTCCTGGCACCACACTGCCAGGTCTCTGACCTCCCTATAGGCTGTCTCATCATTGGTGATCAGGCCTACCACTGTCGTGTCGTCTGCAAATGTAATGATGGTTTTGGAGTCGTGCGCTGCCACGCAGTCGTGGGTAAACAGGGAGTACAGGAGGGGACTGAGCACGCACCCCTGAGGGGCCCCCGTGTTGAGGGTCAGCGTGGCGGATGTTTTGTTGCCTACCCTCACCACCTGGTGGCGGCCTGTCAGGAAGTCCAGGATCCAGTTGCAGAGGGAGGTGTTTAGTCCCAGGGTCCTTAGCTTGACTTTTTCCACATTTTGTTGTGTTACAGCCTGAATTTAAAATGTATTAAATTGAGATGTTTTGTCACTGGCTTACACACAATACCCCATAATATGGAATTAAGTTTGACATTTTTACAAATTAATTAAAAATGAAAAGCTGAAATGTCTTGAGTCAATAAGTACTCAACCTCTTTGTTATGGCAAGCCAAAATAAGTTCAGGAGTAAACATTTACTTAACAGGTTGCATGGTCTCACTCTGTGTGCAATAATAGTGTTTAACATGATTTTTGAATGACTCTCTAATTTCTGTACCCCACACATACAATTTGAGCATTGAATTTCAAACACAGATTAAACCACAAAGACCACTGAGGTTTTACAAGGCCTCGCAAAGAAGGGCACCTATTAAAAGACATTGAATATGCCTTTGAGCATGGTGAAGTTATTAATTCTACTTTGGATGGTGTATCAATACACCCAGTCACTACAAAGATGCAGGCGTCCTTCCTAACTCAGTTGACGGAGAAGAAGGAAACCGCACAGGGATTTCAGCACGAGGCCGATGGTGACTTTAAAAACAGTTACAGAGTTGAATGGCTGTGATGGGAGAAAACTTAGGATGGATCAACAACATTGTAGTTACTCCACAATACTAACCTAATTGACAAAGTGAAAAGAAGGAAGCCTGTACAGAATAAAAATATTCCAAAATATGCATCCGGTTTGCAACAAGTCACTAAAGTAATACTGCAAAAAATATGGCAAAGCAGTTAACTTTTTGTCCTGAATACAAAGTGTTATGTTTGGGGCAAATCCAATACAACACATTAGTGAGAACACTTTCCATATTTTCAAGCATAATGGTGGCTGCATCATGTTATGGGTATGCTTGTAATCGTTAAGGACTGGAGAGTTTTTCAGGATAAAAAATAAACTAAATGTAACTAAGCACAGGTAAAATCCTAGAGGAAAACCTGGTTCAGTCTGCTTTCCACCAGACACTGGGAGATTAATTTATCTTTCAGCAGGAAAATAACCTAAATCTACTTGAAAACCTATGGCAAGAAAAATGGTTGTCTAGCAATGATTAATGAACAACCAATTTTACAGAGCTTGAAGAATTTTGAAAATAATAATGTGCAAATGTTGCACAATCCAGGTGTGGAAAGCTCTTAGAGACTTACCCAGAAAGACTCTTTCTTCTTCTTCGCTTCTACATTGACTCAGGGTTGTGAATACTTATGTAAATGAGATATTTATGTATATCATTTTCAATACATTTGCCACAAAAAATTAAAACATTTTCACTTTGTCATTATGGGGTATGGTGTGTAGATGGGTGAGAAAAAAAATCTAATTAATCCATTTTGAATTCAGGCTGTAAAACAACAAAATATGGAATAAGTCAAGGGGTATAAATACTTTCTGAAGGCACTGTAGGTGTTCCTTTTGTCCCGATGGGAAAGGGCAATGTGGAGTGCAATAGAGATTGCGTAATCTGTGGATCTGTTGGGGCAGTATGTAAATTGGAGTGGGTCCAGGTTTCTGTGATGATGGTGTTGATGTGAGCCATGACCCGCCTTTCAAAGCATTTCATGGCTACAGATGTGTGTGCTACGGGGCGGTAGTCATTTAGACAGGTTACCTTGGCGTTCTTAGGTACAGGGACTATGGTGGTTTGCTTGAAACATGTAGGTATTACAGACTGGGTCAGAGAGAGGTTGAAAATGTCAGTGAAGACACTTGCCAGCTGGTCAGCGCATGCTCTGAGTACGCGTCCTGGTAATCCGTCTGGCCCTGCGGCCTTGTGAATCTTAACCTGTTTAAAGGTCTTACTCACATCGGCTACGAAGAGCGTGATCATACAGTCGTCCGGAACAGCTGGCGCTCTCACGCATGGTTCAGTGTTGTTTGCCTCAAAGCAAGCATAAAGGCATTTAGCTCATCTGGTAAACTTGCGTGACTGGGCAGCTCTCAGCTGGGTTTCCCTTAGTAATCCATGATAGTTTGCAAATCCTGCCACATCCGATGAGCATCAGAGCCGGTGTAGTAGGATTCCATCTTAGTCTTGTATTGACACTTTGCCAGTTTGATGGTTCTTCGGAAGGCGTAGCGGGATTTCTTATAAGCATCTGGATTAGTGTCCTCCTTAAAGTCATAAACATTGATAAATGTCAGTACATAAAAAGACAAACATTTGCAAAATGCCACTACAGTGGGGGAAAAAAAGTATTTAGTCAGCAACCAATTGTGCAAGTTCTCCCACTTAAAAAGATGAGAGAGGCCTGTAATTTTCATCATAGGTACACGTCAACTATGACAGACAAATTGAGAAAAAGAAATCCAGAAAATCACAATGTAGGATTTTTTATGAATTTATTTGCAAATTATGGTGGAAAATAAGTATTTGGTCACCTACAAACAACCAAGATGTCTGGCTCTCACAGACCTGTAACTTCTTCTTTAAGAGGCTCCTCTGTCCTCCACTCGTTACCTGTATTAATGGCACCTGTTTGAACTTGTTATCAGTATAAAAGACACCTGTCCACAACCTCAAACAGTCACACTCCAAACTCCACTATGGCCAAGACCAAAGAGCTGTCAAAGGACACCAGAAACAAAATTGTAGACCTGCACCAGGCTGGGAAGACTGAATCTGCATTAGGTAAGCAGCTTGGTTTGAAGAAATCAACTGTGGGAGCAATTATTAGGAAATGGAAGACATACAAGACCACTGATAATCTCCCTCGATCTGGGGCTCCACGCAAGATCTCACCCCGTGGGGTCAAAATGATCACAAGAACGGTGAGCAAAAATTCCAGAACCACACGGGGGGACCTAGTGAATGACCTGCAGAGAGCTGGGACCAAAGTAACAAAGCTTACCATCAGTAACACACTACGCCACCAGGGACTCAAATCCTGCAGTGCCAGACGTGTCCCCCTGCTTAAGCCAGTACATGTCCAGGCCCGTCTGAAGTTTGCTAGAGTGCATTTGGATGATCCAGAAGAGGATTGGGAGAATGTCATATGATCAGATGAAACCAAAATAGAACTTTTTTGGTAAAAACTCAACTCGTCGTGTTTGGAGGACAAAGAATGCTGAGTTGCATCCAAAGAACACCCATACCTACTGTGAAGCATGGGGGTGGAAACATCATGCTTTGGGGCTGTTTTTCTGCAAAGGGACCAGGACGACTGATCCGTGTAAAGGAGAGAATGAATGGGGCTTGTATCGTGAGATTTTTGAGTGAAAACCTCCTTCCATCAGCAAGGGCATTGAAGATGAAACGTGGCTGGGTCTTTCAGCATGACAATGATCCCAAACACACCGCCCGGGCAACGAAGGAGTGGCTTCGTAAGAAGCATTTCAAGGTCCTGGAGTGGCCTAGCCAGTCTCCAGATCTCAACCCCATAGAAAATCTTTGGAGGGAGTTGAAAGTCTGTTTTGCCCAGCGAGGAGATCTGCATGGAGGAATGGGCCAAAATACCAGCAACAGTGTGTGAAAACCTTGTGAAGACTTACAGAAAACGTTTGACCTGTGGCATTGCCAACAAAGGGTATATAACAAAGTATTGAGAAACTTTTGTTATTTACCAAATACTTATTTTCCACCATAATTTGCAAATAAATTCATTAAAAAATCCTACAATGTGATTTTTCTGGAATTTCTTTTCTCATTTTGTCTGTCATAGTTGACGTGTACCTATGATGAAAATTACAGGCCTCTCATCTTTTTAAGTGGGAGAACTTGCACAATTGGTGGCTGACTAAATACTTTTTTTCACCACTGTACATGGAATTAACAGATACAGTTTAAGTCGGAAGTTTACATACACCTTAGCCAAATACATTTAAACTCAGTTTTTCACAATTCCTGACATTTAATCCTAGTAACAATTCCCTGTCTTAGGTCAGTTAGGATCACCACTTTATTTTAAGAATGTGAAATGTCATAATAGTAGAGAGTGATTTATTTCAGCTTTTATTTATTTAATCACATTCCCAGTGGGTCAGAAGTTTACATACACTCAATTAGTATTTGGTATCATTGCCTTTAAATTGTTTAACTTGGGTCAAACGTTTCGGGTAGCCTTCCACAAGCTTCCCACAATAAGTTGGGTGAATTTTGGTTCATTTTTCCTGACAGAGCTGTCCATTTGGAAGACCCATTTGCGACCAAGCTTTAACTTCCTGACTGATGTCTTGAGATGTTGCTTCAATATATCCACATAATTTTCCTTCCTCATGATGCCATCTATTTTGTGAAGTGCACCAGTCCCACCTGCAACTAAGCACCCCCACAGCATGATGCTGCCACCCCTGTGCTTCACGGTTGGGATGGTGTTATTCGGCTTGCAAGCACCCCCCTTTTCCTCCAAACATAACGATGGTCAATATGGCCAAACAGTTCTATTTTTGTTTTATCAGACCAGAGGACATTTCTCCAAAAAGTAAGATCTTTGTCCCCATGTGCAGTTGTAAACCGTAGTCTTGCTTTTTTATGGCGGTTTTGGAGCAGTGGCTTCTTCCTTGCTGAGCGGCCTTTCAGGTTATGTCGATATAGGATTCGTTTTTTACCGTGGATATAGATACTTTTGTACCTGTTTCCTCCAGCATCTTCACAAGGTCCTTTGCTGTTGTTCTGGGATTTATTTGCACTTTTCGCACCAAAGTACGTTCATCTCTAGGAGACAGAACGCGTCTCCTTCCTGAGCGGTATGACGGCTGCGTGGTCCCATGGTGTTTATACTTGCGAACTATTGTTTGTACAGATGAACGTGGTACCTTCAGGTGTTTGGGAATTGCTCCCAAGGACGAACCAGACTTGTGGAGGTCTTGGCTGATTTATTTTGATTTTCCCAAGATGTCAAGCAAAGAGGCACTGAGTTTGAAGGTAGGCCTTGAAATCCATCCACAGGTACACCTCCAATTGACTCAAATTATGTCAATTAGCCTATCAGAAGCTTCTAAAGCCATGACATCATTTTCTGGAATTTTCCAAGCTGTTTAAAGGCATAGTCAACTTAGTGTATGTAAACTTCTGACCCACTGGAATTGTGATACAGTGAATTATAAGTGAAATAATCTGTCTGTAAACAGTTGTTGGAAAAATTACTTGTGTCATGCACAAAGTAGATGTCGTAACCGACTTGCCAAAACTATATTTTGTTAACAAGATATTTGTGGAGTGGTTGAAAAACGAGTTTTAATGACTCCAACCTAAGTGTATGTAAACTTCCGACTTCAACTGTATAGCAAGGCTATATCAATCTACATGGGTTTTTCAATGCTGTATAGATTTGTCCTCTGGAATCTATATATTTTAAGTTTATGTTTGTCTGTATTTTGACTGGTTTTAGTGGAAACAATATTTTCTTGTCTGCCAGTCAGTGCTGCTTATCAGTGATCAGGGTGTCCTGACTGATGAGTGTTGATTACGAAATAGCTCTATTTGATATCAGAGTGAAATTGCATCAGTAAACATGAACTAATGGGTAAGTTCAAAGTTGATTTCCTTCCTCTGTCCTGTCTGTCAGGCTGCTGTTTAAGAAGGTGAAGGCTCTGCTGGGAGGGAACATCAGGATGATGCTGTCAGGAGGAGCGCCCCTGTCCTCCGCCACCCAGCGCTTCATGAATATCTGCTTCTGCTGCCCCGTGGGACAGGGCTATGGCCTCACAGAGACCTGCGGAGCGGGTACCATCACAGAGGGTGAGTCAGGGCAGAAACAGCCACGGACTACTACTACTGGGGTCAGGGCATAAAATTAACACCCGTCAAATGCGGGTAGATTTAGGTATTGGCGGGTAAGAATGTCTATTTCACCAGCCACATTGGCGGGTGGTCAATTTGCAGGGCTCTACAGTGAGAGCATTACATTTGTAAATAAAAAGAGTTAAAAGTCAAGGATGAACACATGTTCAAGTTAGGGTTAGAAAAATGCTGCGGTAGCTGTTTTCAAAGTACTTCTGCTGTTTTGTTTCATAGCTGCTAATTGCACAAAGAAATAGGAATCCTGTATATCCCACCTCACGAAGAAACACTGCCTGGCAGGGTAGCTGTGCGCAATGAGTGAAGTGATGATATTTTCATTTTTGGAGGCTCAGGCATAAAAGTTGGTCTAATTTACTCAAAAGTCTACAAAGTGAGACTTTGTCCATGTGTTTCTTGGCAATTTACATTGTTGTGTTCACAAGCTTGGTTATTTTTCAACATTAGTTTGAGTCTGCTGCTTCAACTTATAGAGAAGAGACGCCCTAGTCAGATCTTTAATCACACAGACATGTGACAGGACTCGAGTGGCCACTGTACCACGGGAACCTCCCGCCCTTAAAGGGGCAACTGAACATTTTGTCTCTGATATTTCGATTAAAAGACTCAGGTCACAAAAAATGAAATGAAATGTAGTAATATACCACTTTAATAATTACTTCTTACTAATACATTTATTGTTTTAGAAACATTACAGAGCATGGTCATACGTTTGTGTTTTTTGATGTAATTATGGGTAAAAAATATTTTGGCTGGTAAAGAATATGAGTGGCAGGTAGATGTTTTAATCGTAGTAGTAGTGTGTAGGAGAATGGTGGGCTCTCTGTCATTTGAGAATCTTCACCATTGTGTTTTTTGTTAGGAAATTATACCTATGCATGCCATGGCAATTCTGGGCTTTAGCCAAGACAGAGGTCTTTGAGAGCATGCTACTGCTCAGGCTTTTTTATCTATTGAGTTGCCCTGAGGGTTTCATGTCTTTAAACACACATACTCTGAGGTAAATGTCTTTGTTCAAGCCCCAACCTGTGAAAGGTTCTGTGATACTGGGATTGTTGATGGCAGAGGAATGGCAGCTATACTAAATATATAACTGTTTTGCGTCAATCGGCTTTGCTGTATAGGTCACACAGGTATCTGTCACTTTTCAGTGCATTCTGAATGTGGAAGGATATGTTTGTCCTATGCTATGCAGCAGTATTTGAGTGTGAAACAGTTTGTCGAATGACGCCAAATAACCACTGGGGCCGATAAGGCCATATCATTTAAGAGGACTTCAGGACATTGTTTCTTGGAACTTTCTTGGAAGGCAGAGGACAATGTACAAGTTCTTAGTTTAAAAACAAACACAACATTATATTTGATAACAAATCAATTATGTTTGCTATGATTTGATTTTCCACATAGATCAAAGCAGTGTATGAACTTTTCATGACAGTGTTGAAATTGTGAGCCTCCCCTCTCTGGTCAATCTGAAGGACAAGTATGTATCTTGCTTTATGCCCCAGATGTGCATGAGCATAAGCACTGATGCTTATTCTTTAATAAGAAAACCTTGATTTGAGAAATATTCAGAGACTGGTTTTTAGTAGGCCGGGTTACAGCCTACTACTGGCATCAGGTATTAAACTCTACGTGGGACTCTGTCTTTATTTATCTGTGATTGTGTGTTTTGTCTCCAGTGGCAGACTACAGCACTGGGAGAGTAGGAGCCCCCCTCATCTGCTGTGAGGTCAAACTACGAGACTGGGTTGAGGGTAAGAAATGAAGCCTATGGAAACAAACACTTATTTATGAAAATGTTTGATAAAGTGTACTGCACTGTTGAGGAGAGCGTGCAAGTAAGCATTTCACTGTATTGTTTACACCAGTGGTATTCAAACCTTTTCAGCAGGGACCCAAAAAAAATATGCCAGAATTTCTGGGGACCCCCATTTTTCCCCCCAAGATATTCTGGCAATCACACCCAAAATCAAATAACACAACCTTAAAATCGGTACATTTTGATTTTCACATTAACAAGGAATGTTAGATTCATAAAATGTTCATCTAAGAGAACCAATACATAAAGTGCCTTCAGAAAGTATTCATGCCCCTTGACTCTTTCCACATTGTGTTGTGTTACAGCCTGAATTCAAAAGTATTATATTATCTCACCCATCTACACACAATGCCCCATAATGACAAAGTGAAAACATATTTTTTGACATATTGAAAATTAAATACAGAAATATATTTTCAGAGTGAAAAGAAGGAAGCCTGTACAGAATAAAACATATTCCAAAACATGTATCCTGTTTGTAACAAGGCATTAAAGTAATAATGCAAAAAATGTGGAAAAGCAATTCACTTTTTGTCCTGAACACTAAGTGTTTTGTTTGGGGCAAATCCAATACAGCACATTACTGAGTACCACTCTCCATATTTTCAAGCATAGTGGTGGCTGCATTATGTTATGGGTATGCTTGTAATCGTTAAGTACTGGGGAGTTTTTCAGGATAAAAAAGAAACGGAATGGAGCTAAGCACAGGCAAAATCCTAGAGGTAAACCTGGTTCAGTCTGCTTTCCACCAGACACTGGGAGATTAATTCACCTTTCAGCAGGACAATAACCTAAAACACAAGGCCAAATCTACACTGGAGTTACTTACCAAGATGACTGTGAATGTTCCTGAGTGGCCGAGTTACAGTTTTGACTTAAATCTACATGAAAATCTGTGGCAAGACCTGAAAAGGGTTGTCTAGCAATCGTTGTCTAGCAACGATCAAGCTTGAAGAATTTTGCAAAAGAGTAATGGGCTAATTAAGTGATAATGCCAGAGAAGCCGGTGTTTGGAGGATATATTGGCACGGGTGTTGTTAGGCCCGAGACTAAGTTTAGGGCCGGCAAACCGTGCCAATATATCCTCCGAACACCGGCTTCGAGGGCATTATGACTTTTATACAACAGGTTACCAACATATTCAAATAATGATTTACATATTTTCATTAAAACATTATTTTGATTAATTTATTAATACTATTTAATCCTTCCACAAGATATAGTCCTGACACAAAACTAGGGTTTTCTAGAGACGCGACCCAGTCGTTCAGTCTTTTTGTTCTGTATCTATGGACGTGACCCAGTCGTTCAGTCTTTTTGTTCTGTATGTATGGACGCAACCCAGTCGTTCGTTCTAAATGTTCCATTGCCATACTGGCTGTCAACGTTCTTATCCCTTGCTTGCTAGCTAGCCAACTACGGCTAACTTACAGTCACGTCAAAAAGTGCAGCCAGAATAACAGCGAAGTAGCTGCATTTGCATTTGTTTAAGCTGTTTTCTAGTGACATTTATTTGGAGACATCATAACAATGAGCTCATGAGGTGCAATTTCGCCTGGCATAGAAAATGTGCTCACTTGTCAGGACACTGTTGTTCAGAGGACCTAGCCAACAACACAGCTACAGTAACACAATCACTTTAAACTGAAGCTGGAAAGACTGCAAATTAGCTGCGTTTCGTTGTAAATTTTTTCCCCACATTTCTTTTTGTATATATCCATAAAAATGATGCCAGCTGATTCATGATTTCGACTGGCTGAGAAACGCTGCCTGCCTGTCTGTCTCTTCCCGACTCCCGACACGTACATTACTATGGGCCAACAGGGGATCGAATTTCATTATTGAAACAATGTTGCAAATGTCGGAGAGACTGACAGCAAGGTTTATACAAATCTCCGCTGTTGAAAATGAAATGTTAGTCTAAAAGATAATGTCTAGATGCTTTTTATAGTGGAGCCTGGCTGGGCTGATGAGACAGTGGATTGCGCAGTCAGGTGGAACAGAGTAAATAGACATTTTAACGTCATAGATTTAGCCGGTGGCAATTTGTGGAATAAACACCGGCTGGAATGCGGTTTTAACCAATCAGCATTCAGGATTAGACCAACCCGTTGTATAATGTTGCACAATCTAGGTGTGCTAAACTCTTAGAGACCAACCCAGAAAGACTCACAGCTGTAATCGCTGCCAAAGGTGCTTCTACAAAGTATTGACTCAGGGGTGTGAATACTTATGTCAATTAGGTTAGTATTGTGGAGAAACTACTAAAGTAACTACTAAAGTATTACTGTAAAAACTTTGGTAAAGCAATTAACTTTTTTTCCTGAATACAAAGTGTTATGTTTGGGGCCAATACAACATATTACTGAGTACCACTCTCCATATTTTCAAGCATAGTGGTGGCTGCACCATTGGCCTCATGGTAAAATCCATGAGAGGTTTCCTTCCTCTCCGACAACTGAGTAAGGAAGGACGCCTGTAGCTTTGTAGTGACTGGGCTTATTGATACACCATCCAAAGTGCAATTAATAACTTCACCATACTCAAAGGGATATTCAATGTCAGTTCTTTTTTTTTTATACCCATCTACCAATAGGTGCCCTTCTTTGCGGGGCATTGGAAAAGCTCCCTGGTCTTTGTGGTTGAATCTATGTTTGAAATTCACTGCTCGACTGAGAGACCTTACAGATAATTGTATGTGTGGGGTACAGAGATGAGGTAGTCATTCAAAAATCATGTCAAACACTATTATTGCACACAGAGTGAGTCCATGCAACTTATTATGTTACTTGTTAAGCACATTTTTACTCCTGAACTTATTTAGGCTTGCCATAACAATGGGTTTGAGTACTTATTGACTCAAGACATCTCAGCTTTTCATTTTTAATTAATTTGTAAACATTTCTAAAAACATAATACCACTTTGACAATATGGGGTATTGTGTGTAGGCCAGTTACCAAAAATCTATATTTATCAATTTTAAATGCAAGCTGTAACACCACAAAATGTGGAAAAAGTAAAGGGGTGTGAATTTGATTAGATTTTTGACACACACATATAGAATGCGTATCACGGATGACTTGGACATCCTCATTCAGTAGCTGCCCTATTTGCCTACTTTGCTTGTTTTTACCGTATTTGCATGTGACTCTCATTATGTGCCCTGATTAGTTTCCATGTGGTTAGTTTCTTCCTGTTCCTAACAATCCTTTATACAGTTATTCTCTACCACCATGCCTCACTCTTATCTTCCCACTGTGTTCCCAAGGTGGATACACCAGCCAGGACCAGCCCCACCCCCGTGGAGAGATCATGATTGGTGGGCCCAACGTTACCATGGGTTACTATAAGAGCGAGCACCTGAACAATGACTTCTGGGTGGATGAGCAGGGCCAGAGATGGTTTTGTACCGGGGATGTGGGGGAGATCCACCCTGATGGCTGTCTGCAGATAGTGGGTGAGTGGCTGAGAGGAGGTGGAGAACATCTGAATAATAACACCAGTGCTCGCTGTTCATTGCACAACAGCTGCCTCTCAACACTTTATGACCATGAGGTAATACTGTCATAAACTATTCAAATTGATCCAAACAATGCTAACTGCCATAAAACCTCTCTGAAGAAGCAGATGTAAACAGTGCTATGCTGCCATATTTCAGTCTTCTCACTGACCCTCTCTACTCTGTTTGTAGACCGTAAGAAGGACCTAGTCAAACTGCAGGCAGGAGAATACGTGTCCTTGGGGAAAGTGGAGTCTGCTCTGAAGAACTGCCCCCTTATTGACAACATCTGTGCATATGCAAACAGGTAACTCTTCTGTCTGCTTTATACTATACACTTCTTTACATAGGACCGAACGATTTTACATTGATACCACATGCATTTGTGGTTATGTTTTAGTAGTTATTCTACATGTATCACCCCTAAAACATATTCAATGTGCATGCTCAAGTCTGTATAATTTTATTTTCTCTTGCTTTTAGTGACCAGAACTATGTGATAAGCTTTGTGGTACCGAACCAGAAGCAGCTGACAACTCTGGCCAATAACAATGGCATAAGTGTTGCCTGGGAGGACATCTGTAACCACCCAGCCATGGAGAAGGAGGTCCTGAAGGCCATCAAAGAGGTGGCTGTCTCAAGTAAGGCTGAAACCTACTCTGACACATATCTTATTAACTTGACTAACCAGATGGACAATAACCTACAATTAATAGACATCATTTTAGTGTGTGACAATAGAGGACTTTGCTCATGCCATGCATATCCCTTTTATATTAACCATTGTGCCCCCCCCCCAGTCAAACTGCAGCGTTTTGAGATCCCAGTGAAAGTGCGTCTGAGCCCAGAGCCCTGGACCCCTGAGACTGGCCTGGTGACAGATGCATTCAAACTGAAGAGGAAGGAGCTGAAGAATCACTTCCAGACTGATATCGAGAGAATGTACGGAGGGAAGTAGAGCCACCATCCGATCTAACCAAAGAACGGTTTCCTTATAACTATCACCAGTGATGCGTGTGTGTGTCTGAATAATAATAATTCATTTCATTTGTATAGTGCTTTTCATAAGAGTTATCTCAAAGTGCTATTGAAAAAAAAGTGTACAAAACATTAGGAACACCTTCCTAATATTGAGTTGCACCCGCTTTTGCCCTCAGAACTGCCTCAATTCGTCAGGGCATGGACTCAAGGTGTCGAAAGTGTTCCACAGGAATGCTGGCCCATGTTGACTCCAATGCTTCCCACAGTTGTGTCAAATTGGCTGGATGTCCTTTGGCTGGTGGACCATTCTTGATGCACACAGGAAACTGAAAAACCCAGCAACATTGCAGTTCTTGACACACTCAAACCGGTGCGCCTGGCACCTACTACCATACCTCGTTCAAAGGCACTTCAATATTTTTGAATGGCACACATACACGATCCATGTCGCAATTGTCTCAAGGCTTAAACATGTTCTTTAACCTGTCTCCTCCCCTTCATCTACACTGATTGAAGTGGATTTAACAGGTGACATCAATAAGGGATCATAGCTTTCACCTGGTCAGTCTGTCATGGGAAGAGCAGGTGTTCCTAATATTTGTACACTCAGCGTATATACAATAAAACCAACATATATTTAGAATCAAGGCAGGTAAAATAGCAAGAGTGGGCTAGTTGCAAAATAGATTTTAGATTGGGACTAGGACTATGAAAAAGACAGTCTGTAGAAGTGGAATTTTAGGCCCGTTTTAAAAGTTCAGAGTGATGGAGAGGCTCTCAGGTCGTCAGGGAGAGCATTCCATAGGCGAGGGGCAAGGGAGCAGAAGGCTCGGTCCCCATAGTTCGGAATGTGTGTGTATGCTCACGTATTTGCATATGCTTCAAAGCATTATGCCTGTGAACTGTAGAATTGTCTTTCCACGCCATCTCTTTTGTCAAATTATGAACATCAGCCCATAAAGTCCAGCACAGAGGAATCAGCTGGTTGGTTACCAGCTATTTGTGTACATGCAGTTGTCTCCATGCTTAGGGGATCGCACAGCGTTGTGCAAATCTGCAATTCGAATGCAGGTATTGTATTTGCATATTGTAAGTTGCCTTTGGAATGTATTATTTTTTTGTCTGTTTAAGGGAGTTAGGTGTCATAATGTCTTGTGAATTGGCCATTGTCCATTTCCTGTAGCTGTAAGATAGGGTTGGGCAATTGGCGGCCCCCCTTTTGTAGGCCCGCAGATCAATTTTAGGAACTCATTCGGGGTCTCAACTTACTGTTGAGCGTTAGAATAGTAGAATACACAAGGTGCAATTTCTAAATTTGGTTGTGTATCACCAGGTTTTCTGTTGTTATGTCAGTCACTGACAGTCACTCAATTAGCCATGTCAGCTAACCATTTTTAGATTGTTAAGTCTTGCCAGCTATCTAAACTTGTAGTAATCATGGCCGAATACCAATCAGGCACGTGACCAGGGGCCCTGACCTCCAGGGGGCCCCTATTGATTTTGTTAAACACTCTCACTCAGATATCATATTAACATGATCATAAGTCATGGCAAAATTAGTAAAATTGCAGGAAATTAGCTTTAAAACTGTAAACATTTCTTTCCACCCCATAGCAAAATGGTTAGAATTGCAGGAAATGTACTTTAAAACGTACACTTTTCTCTCCACCGTCAAATCTCGCTTAGGGCCCCCAAAAGGCTAGGGCCGGCCCTGGCTACTGGTATAGAGCGGTAAGGAGGAGCTCTGTGGACCCATACTGTCCGGAAGTAATTTAGCCATTTTGCTATTTTCTCGAGCGGTCTCGTGTCAATTAACTCGTGACATTCCAGGATTATTCATCATACGAATAAAGTCCGATTTAATCAACAAATGCGATAGTCAGTTTAAAAACGGTTAAGGGTACAAGAGTGTGTACATATCTGGCTGTGTTGGCAAAATCACTACATATCCCATCGAGCCAAGCGGGGAGAGGCTGCCCGTTGTCGCAGTTCCAGGACCAGTCAGAAATGTCCAGCTAACCCTACGCCAATGGATCTCAAAACTGAACTTGGATTCGTGTTAAGTAGTAATGATGTCCCTCGCTACCGTTTTCTTACGAAACGACAGATAGCTCGAACCAGTCATGACTATTCAACAAAACAAATAATTTAAGTTTATTTCCAGCGAATTTCTTAGTTACATGATTGTATAACTAGCAAAGGAGTTTAAGTTGAGGGTCTAGCATAGTGCAGTTAGCCAGCTAGTTTAGTCAAATCAAATGTTATTTGTCGCATGCGCCGACTACAACAGGTGTAGACTTCACTGTGAAATGCTTACTTATGAGCCCTTTCCCAACAATGCAGAGTTAAAAAGTAAGAAAATAGTACCAAAAAGGGAAAACCGTGGAAAACAAGTCGGGACAGGACATAGCTGGGCGCACATGGTCACTAGGCTAATTCAGACACAGATATTGTAGTTTTTATGCCTTAATATCAGGAGCAGGCGACGGGAAAAGTTAGATTAAACAATTCAGACACTGAAACGAGTACATCAGATGACAAATATTTAAGGAGAGCGAATCGATATACAATCCCGAAATCAGCTGTAACTGTCAATAGTAAAACAAAGCTTAAAACGATATTTGAGTGAACCTGAATCCATAAAATGAATGGTGAAGTCGCTTCCGGACACGGTAGACACCTCTTCCTCACCACTTTATAATGCATTTACATAAGAGAGTTATGTAGTTTAACTGCACAAATTGATTGGTTGAACAAATCAGTTGACTGCATGTTTGGGCACGCAGATCCGCGAGCCATCGCGGCCCCTCATGATAAATGAAGTTTTTTTTGTGGCCCCCATCAACGTACATCCCTGCTGACCGGTAGTTTGATGAAAATAAAACATTTTGCTGCCCCCTAGTGTGCAAGCCTCCACAGTGCTGCTGTATACATTTGCTTGTTCTGTACATAGGATCACATAACTGCCACACAACTGCTGAGACCCCACAATCCTTCAGGCTATTGCACATAGATTAAACCTGAGTGTAATTTTTGACATTTTTGTCACCTGTGCTTATTTAATTTTTGTTTTCATGTTTTGAACCTGCTCATGACATTGTCATAGTGACACAACCCAACCCAAGTTGTCACCTTATGTTTTGGATTTTTCAGGTACTAGGTCTTTGGTATGGTGAATATCATTCTTACTATGTTACAGAATGGATTATCATTTTTGTTTGAGCAAAAATGAAGATAGTCCTTCAGCCTCTTTGTTTCATGATCTATTCCTACAACTCTGTTTTTGTATACTGTACAATATTTATAGACTTAGGTTATATGTTTCAAGTCATCTTTATAATGTGATAGTCATACATTTCTGACCTCTGGATCTGCCAATTTAATAGTCTGTATGCTCTTGAATAATTTTTATTTTGTCACAAGGTTTATCAAGACATGAAATACTCTATATAATTAAATGCAATTTTTAGATGATATGCTGTTGAATCCAATTGAGTGGCATGTGTAAATAAAACTTGAATGTAAAGATTTTGGTATGCATGTACATTAAGGTCAAGTTAAATGTTGAGCCATTTGAATTTTTTGGGATGAATTTCATACTATTGAACTGTTTAAAGGTCACAATTGTACTTCTTGAAACTTTGTGTGGAACGTTGATGAAAATGCTGTGAATCAGCAACTTTGCTTCAGCAAATGTACAGAAATTCAAAGCGAATGAGTTATAGCATTCTGAAGCTGTTTAACGTGGCATATAATGCAGTAAGAGGGAATTTATGGTGTCGTGGCCATCTGAAACATGCAAATCAATGCCAAAAATGTATATTTTGGTCCTCTGTAGCTCAATTGGTAGAGCATGGCTCTTGTAACGCCAGGGTAGTGGGTTCGATCCCCGGGACCACCCATACGTAAAAATGTATGCACACATGACTGTAAGTCGCTTTGGATAAACGCGTCTGCTAAATGGCATATTATTATTATTATATTCATAAAATACAATTGAACTATTTTGCACATATCCTCAATGGCCAACACATTGGGGTGAAACATAGACACTGTTACAATTAGCCATGATACGACTAATCCATTGAGTCCTTTCACGGCTATGTTCCAATAGGAGTGAGAAAGGTCCCAAAAAAAATGCAATGTTTTATTTTTTATACTCAGGGTTAACTATACATCATCCAAGAATGTGACTGCAGTAGTAATTATTTTGAGACCAACATTTCATCTTATGTTAATTGTGAAGCACTTATTATTCTCTTCATTGGTTTATATTGATGTTTTGTCAGCTCATTTGTATTATTTATTCAAATCTGTTATGTGTATGAAACAATGTGTGATAAGGAATGGGCAGTGTGTCCCTTCTGGTTAAGTCATTTGCAGCACATATTCTTTTTATATGAATATATTAAAGCTTTCTGCCCACTGTAAAATGTTGATTTATTATTTGAAGAATTGTCAATCAGATGAATATCAATACAAAGTATTGTTCAATGATTTACAATTAGGTTCACTAGTTTATATCTACCACATTCTTTCCAGTTCTGTACAGAAAGATACATTCTCCCTATCCTTGGGGCAAGCTTTGCAAATCTTTCAAGCAAGGATAATTACTGAATTTTAACCATGCCCAAGATATGAGGTGATGATTTTTTTTTTTTTAAATTTTAAAATATTTATTTCACCTTTATTTAACCAGGTAAGCCAGTTGAGAACAGGTTCTCATTTACAACTGCGACCTGGCCAAGATAAAGCAAAGCAGTGCAATAAAAACAACACAGAGTTACAAAAATACAACAGAAAATATATATACAGTGTGTGCAAATGTAGCAAGTTATGGAGGTAAGGCAATAAATAGGCTATAGTGCAAAATAATTACAATAGTATTAACACTGGAATGCTAGATGTGCAAGAGATTATGTGCAAATAGAGATACTGGGGTGCAAAAGAGCAAAATAAATAACAATATAGGGATGA